AACGTTTTCTGCTACTAACTATTGCACCAGCTGTGTTTTATTTAAAATAAATGAGGAACGTTGGTTAAAAACAAGAAAAGAATAGGGTTTATCACGCCATGGTCAGACGTAAAAATAGAGGTTTCAGGTAAAAGTGTAATATAAATATGTCTGAATAATAGCCTTGTTATTGTAACAGGGTTCAGAGCTAGAACATCTACTATACATGTCCTTCAGTTAATACCTGAAATATAAAACAATACTTTGTATTGTCTAGTGTTAATAAAACAACTCTATAATAACTAGTTTTATTTCTATGTCAGCTTCTCTTCCGGCACTTGCAGAGTACAGATGCTTCTGCTTTTGCTCCCTTATCTTTTTTCCCAAGGCTCTTTGTCCTTTAAAAATAAACTTTTACTTACTTACTTACTGTCTGCCCACAGAGCGCTTCTCTGCACTTCTCCTGAAAAACCCTATTTTTTAGAAATGGATTTAATGAATTGGTCATTCAACGCGATTGATAAGATTTTTCCAACGATGAGAACGGAGCAGGGGGCTCCCACTTGCCCGCAATGGACACACCCGGCGGGGTATATGCTCGATTCCTGGAAAGAATGGAGGATCGTATGCCTCTCCCAGCTGTCCATTGAGGATGTCGAAGATGTGTGGATGTTTGGCCTGATGATCACTGGATTTCTTCTGATTGGAGTGGGAGGATATCTGGTTTTCTGGAAATTTGGGAAGACGGGAGCGATTGGAGGGCGACCCGCACCCACGGAAAGCACCATTCGTGTGGAGACCTTACAAACTGGGACGTTACTCGAGGTGAAACGTAAGCTGGACAATGTTCTAGCTGCGTTACCGGTATTAGTGCGCAAAATGGATGTCATCTCGGAGAGGGTCACCGGACAGTGCGGAGATGTTTAAAACCTAAATTGTCTTCACTGGAGGACTTGAATGACCAGTTTAGAGACTGGAAGGCAGAGAGGAAAATTATCACTGCCTGACTCAAACAAAGTCTTGTTATCCGAATCTGACGCCATGGCGGCCTTCAAGTTGCCAACAACAAACCCCCATGGAAGAAATGCAGACAGATGCTGTGAACCCCCCCCCCCCCCCCCCTTCGGATTGGTGGACTTCAGCGAGGTCATCAACCTGTAGGGTCAATGTGCTCTGTGCTCCTCCCAAGATCTCCTTCCCACCTGTGGCTACAGTGGTTGAGCGCCATACAGGGCTGCTCTCGCTGGGGAAACAGGATCCCAGCCCCCCAGCCCCCCACCCCCACCCCCGCCCTCCTATTGGACTCTCATGTTGTGAACTGTCGATGTCTGCGTTCCTCCCAAGATCTCCCTCCCACCTGTGGCTACAGTGGCTGAGCGCCTTGAGATGGCTGCTCTCGCTAGGACCCCCCCCCCCCCCTCCTCTTGGGCTCTCGTGAACTGTTGATGTTCGTGCTTACGTGTTTGAGGTGTTTTTTTTTATATTGCAAAGCTACGCCCTGCCGGGAGTATCTCTGGAATGCCTTTTATTCCCTCCCCCAATTTATCCTCATGTAATCCCCTTTTCATCTAATGAAATGCTGGCGGCGCGTGCATACGCAGCGGCTTCTCTCTCTCTCCCGTTCTTTAGCGAGAGTTTGAGAGTAACGTAATTTCATTTCTCTGTATGTCTTGTACATGTGGTAGAACTGACAATAAAACTGACTTTGACTATAACAATGAAACAGCAGCAAACAAATAAAATTGGCCTTTACTGCCTGTAGATCCTCCACCAGACGACAGTAGACATTTACAGGACTGTCTATGACAGGTTTATGATGAAAGTACTAATCCAGACACAGTTAATTTAGGCTAGCAGTGGTTTGATGCTAATTAGTGCCTCCTATGGTCTGACTCCTGATCTGCACATCTACCACCAAAGGATCCAGGTACAGGAGAAGACCTCTTCTCCCTTTCTGGTCTCCCTGATAGGACACACGTGCACAGAAGAGCATCCCCTTCCAAGCAAAGAATCATTTTCTCATCCATGACAGCTACTCTGTGTGTGCGCACAAACAGCTGATTCAGTCTATATTGTAACATGAACATGAGCTGTTGAACGGTGGTTTGGTTTTAGGTAAACACAGCTGTCAGATTTAGTTTAGGTCTGATAAATCACCAGTGAGAGCCTGATTTCTGACCCTGTGTATTATAAACGGGGGTGCACATAATATTTTTGGGTTGGTATTCAGGGGAGAACCTATGGTTGTTGCTTGGTCCTCACATTTTTTAATGCACATAATTCTTAACCCAACTCACAACAGGAACAAAACAGAGTAACGCGTCTTTTTAGGTTAGCTTTTATCTAAATATTTACTACAGTTTTATTTCTCGTTTTACATCATTATATTTTATTACTTGCTTTGCATGTATTATATGATTATATTTTAGCACAGTTTTATTATTTAATATTATTATTTTACTGTCTATATGATTTTATTTATTACTTATTTTCTAATTGTTGTCATTTATATTAGCTCTTTTATTATATTTTTACTCATTTTAATCCAATGTTTCCTCTGTAGGGGCCCTCTGCCCCGGGAGCGGTGGTCAACTGTAGCTTCCTGGGCGCTCTATAGGTGGGGGTCTATGCTCCCCCTCCACTGAGCGCCCTGACTTAGTGTGGAAGACCTGATGCTGCCGGGGCAGACGGCTCCTCTGATGGCGTTTCCTTTACTTACCTTACTTGGCTCATCTGGACTCAGCCAAATATAATTTTTACGTGTGTGTGTGTGTGTGTGTGTGTGTGTGTGTGTGTGTGTGTGTGTGTGTGTGCGTGTGCGTGTGTGCGTGTATGTGTGTGTGTGCGTGCGTGCATGCGTGCGTGCGTGCATGCGTGTGTGTGTGTGTGTGCACGCGTGTGCATTTGCTTGCATGTGTCTGTTAATGTTTTTAACCTGTTATGGGAATCCGGGGTCATTTTGTAAAGCACTTTGAGTGGCACTTTGTTTGAAAAGCGCTTTATAAATAAATTTGATTGATTGATTGACGATGCAACCTATTTTAATTTTGACTGAAAACAACAAGTACAACAGGTACATGCTGCCAGCTTAACTTAAACCTTCTAATTTTCAAATAGCATGACTGAATTGTCTGAATGTAAAACACAATGTGTAAACAGCTGCTTTTGTGATAACAAAAATCAAATAAAATGAATTAAAAAGCACTCAACAAAATTACTATTTCAGAGCACTGAAGTTTTTAAAGTGACATAAATGCCGTTTTTATTTCTACAGACTCTCATCATCCTCATCATCATCCTCCTCACAATCCTGACTGGCTTCCTCCAGTTCACACGCAGCAGAGGACAACTTTCTGATGTTCTCTGCTGTTCGTATGTTTATCAAACGCTGGATGATTGAAGTTTTTAGTGTCTATGTAAAAGGTGCTGATTTTGTCTGCCGGGGTGGGATTTTCACGGCGTAATCTGCACCACATCTCTGTGCGTTCATCGTTTGTTTGAAGCCAGCCGACCTCCTGCAGCCACTTCTCTGCAAACACTCTTTTCTTTTGCGGTTCCGACTGAGTCTGACGTTGCTTTGGAGGCGGAGGAACACCAACATAATTACTTAATGGAGCTTGCTTCTTGGACATCTTTAAAATGCTCCAGAAATGTCTTCCTTCCTTCACAAAATCTTAGGTGCGCAAATGCATGCTGCAGCTGTTTTTCAGGTGCGCATTGTTTATTTTGATGGCGCATGCGCACCTGCGGACCACTTATGTGCACACCTGATTATAAATATGTTTTATCCTCTCGAATCTTGTTGTTTTGGTGGCCAGATTTGTTTACTTGTTTGTTTACTCAAATTTAAGACTTGAAGGTGTTAGTTATAAAAAACTTCCTTTGTGGCATGTTCTGGTCTTATATATATATATATATATATATATATATATATATATATATATATATATATATATACATACAGTGATCCCTCGCTACTTCGCGGTTCGTTTATCGCGGATTCACGACCTCGCGGATTTTTTCTTTGGAGCCTTTTCAAGGGAAATTCGCCGATTCGCAAAATTTTTCACCGATTCGCGGTATTTTTCTGTCATGTTTTGGGGTAAGTGTCTAACCCAAGACATACAGAATCAGACTCGAGTCGAGGTAAAACATAAACAATAATTTTATTTCTTTAATGATGAGGAGAACTGAAGGCGCACTGGTGATCCAGCGGAGGGTAAAACAGGAAGCGGCAAAATGCGGAAGTTCAGGGTGAATGTGGAGTTGAGCTGGGGTGACATCCAGAGGCGAATTGTAGATTTCCAGGTGGCAGAGTAGACGGATGAGGAGGACGAGGACGAGGTAACGGAGAGGGAGCGTGAGCACGGTGGAGAGCGGGACGGCAGAGCGGAGTTGGTATTCAGACAGTGAACCGTGAGTGTCCAGAAGTCTCCAAGACGGGAGCGAATCCGGAGGAGAAGCAAGTCAGGCAGTAGTTAATCATCCGGCGTGGTATCTGGATAACCGTCCTCCTTTTAAAGCCGTCCCGCTGATCAGGCTGATGAGGATCAGCTGCGCTCCCTCTCCTGTTAAATAAATACTGTAAATATGGAGTCCCTACTTCGTGGATTTTCACCTATCGCGGCCAGGTCTGCAACGCATCTACCGCGATAAACGAGGGATCACTGTATTCAGATTCTCGCAGTGAAACAAAAAATTAATGTCTTGTCTCTATTCTGGGACGCTTTTTTCGTACCTGATCAGGAAATCTCTCAGTTGAGCAAACTCGCAGTGGTTTGGATTTTCAACTGGAACAAGAAAACAAAAGACAATTAGTGAGCGAAATGATCACTACTATCATTCCTGTGCAAAGCACTGAAAGTGAAAAAAAAAACTCACCCTCTATGATTCCCCAGGCGGTCTTCCTCCCCAGAACCCGTTTTCCGTTCACTTGGTGCTCTTTATCACTCCCGACCACGGCAAACGGCATCGTTTCCTGCAGACGGACACGTTTGGACTGATTAGAGCTACCGATGGGTCGTGAGACAAAACAAGACCTCTGCCCTGAAAAGTGCTGGTGACGGATGAGTGAAAGGGAAATCTGGACGTGTGACAGTGAAAGGAAGAACTTTACTCTGATCTTGTCATTGTCGCTCTTGTCCTCCATGTCATCATCAAACTCTTTCTGTGGGTAGAACTCAATCCCGTTGTTTTCCAGCTCCTTTCTCACCTGCGCAACCAAAGACAACATCTAACTAGATCTGACTTTAACCATAACAAAATAAACCGTTTTAAACTGAGCTCATCTTCTATTCTTGTTTTTAAATTGTTACTAAAACAGACATTTAATAAGGAGGCCATTTCCTCGTGATTTTTTAATAAACTCACCCTCTGTTTGAACTCTTGTCTCTCCTCGATGGTCATCGTGTCCGATTTTGCGATAACTGGAATTATGTTGACAGAGTGACTCAGGCGCCTCATAAATTCAACGTCCAGCTGCCGAAGACTGGAACAGACGGAGAAAACAAAAGTAAGAGACGGCTCATCCTCCGAAGGACCGATACGCTGGCAGAGGGAGTTCTGCGTGACACGTTTGTCGGGTTCATTCAAAATTTAGACTTTAAATGATTTTCAAAAGCGGGCATCCTGCTGGACAAAAGTCTGTGTTTCTCTTATTTGACCGCTCACTAAAAGCTCCAGTCGGCCCAAATTACCCCGACTAAGAGGGATGAGATTAGCTGGCAAGGAAACATAAAAGACTGCATCCATTCATCCTCTCAAGAGCAATTTCACAGCTGTCAGCGGCGCTCTGAGAAGGAGCTGTTGTCTGCAGCATAAAGCAGCACACTTGATTTATAGCTTTTTTAATGTGGCGTTATCTTGTGATGTTGCTTTCTGTCTGAACAAGCACTTGGTGCTGCATCCTGAGTCCTGCTGCAGCTTTACTCACCAGTGTCCAGTTGGAGGGATGAAGTAGAGACAGCAGTGCACCCGGGTGTCTGGGATGCGCTTCTTCCTGGTGATGTTCACCTCCTCCTTCAGGAACTTCTCAAACTGCTCATTGATGTATTTAGAAATGGGCTCCCAGCTGTGGAAACACCACAGCAGCATTCACAGCTTGGGCTTTGGTAATGTGGGTGAATGTTACTGTAAATAAAAGAGTGACTCGGCAGATTTAGGGATGCCCGAGTTGGTAAACCCACCAGTTGTCATTGTTGATTTGGTCTCCAAAGCCTGGCGTGTCAACGATGGTCAGCTTCATCTTCACACCACCTTCCTCAATCACTGAGGAACAAAAGCAGGAAATAATATGTAACGATGATTTTTATAAACATCGTATTTAGATTTAATTTTGTATTTAATGTTTGTATTTAGTCATCTGTTTCCTTTTTCTGTTTCCTGGTACAAAGGGGTATGGCGAGTTATGACTTCCTGTTTTAGCTCCTCATACCTGCTAATCAGCTCACCTGGTTACCATATTAATCACTCTCCACCAACACCTTCCATTAGTCCTTTCTGTTGTGTTTGATCCATGTCATCAGTCCCTCTCTTCTGATTCCTTGCTGCCTGGATTTGGACTAATTTGTTAACTCATTCACTGCCATTGACGACTAAAGTCGTCATTTGCATTTTTTTTACTGTTTGAGCATCGGAACGAGCCCCCGCGCTGATAGAACAAACATCTCAGCCCTGAAGCCGATCTTCATCCACCTACGTCACACGTCACATGATCAGGAAGCAGACCATACATGTATTAGGAGATCGTTTTGGGCCGTTCCTGTAAAAAAAGTGAGGCGCGAACCGGAAAAGCGTCTGCCGATCACAATTCGACAACGGATTATGAAAGAACGGATAACGCTCGAAACACGCGGCTTCTTCCTGATGTAAGAGGTGAGTCTCCTCTTTGTGTTGGTTGTTTTGGCATCGACATCATGCTAGCACGCAACGTTCTGTGACTCTTAAAAAACAGTAAAAACAGTGAGAAACGCTGGCAGCGAAGGCCGTTAGTGATCAGGAAACGGCTGGCAGTGAATGAGTTAACAAACCTTATTTAGAAGCTTTCTTGTGAATTTACCTGAAGTTTACATTTTAGGTCTTATTATGTAATTACCTGGATAAAAGTAAAGCTTTAATGTTTAAGCCTATGGTTTGTTAGGAGACATGCACGGGGAGAACCAGGCTGTTTGGAATATTCTACTTGGGAGATGAAAATCAAGAACAAATACCAACAACATTTCAAACAATACAAACACATATTTGATATATCTGGTGAGTTGTGCTCCCTTCCCCCTGCGGTCACCTGTTAATCTCTGTCATCAGACTATGAGATCATCTCTCTGAAGGCTGAACTGGAAAGATTACCCAGAAAAACTCATTTAAAAAAAATGAAATGAAGAAAACATTTCTTCACTCAGTCTTCAGAGTGGTGAACCCAGTTGGTTATTTCTATTCTGGAAGACTCCGTCTCACTGAGGGGATCTTTTTATATCCAGTTTTGTTACTGACCGGTTTTCCATTAATTAGCTGTGAGACAATGACTCTGGAGATCACAGCGCCTTTAATACTTAGATTAATTAAAAAAAAACAGCATTTGGACAAGTGAATGCGACTAACAACAGCATTCTATTGACAGAAGTCAGTCAGGTTTTCTGTAACATTTCTAGAGTTCACCATCACTCATCGTCAGTTTGACTCAAACGACCAGAACAGATGAACATCGACTCATAGCAGGTTCGTGTTTCAGCTGCCGTCTTGCTGGTGAAGGTTCTCTACTGGACTTTTTTGGTTTCTTGAAGACATTTTGCCTCTCATCCGAGGAGCTTTGTCAATTCTGACTGGAATATGAGAGAGCTGAGTGTCATGGTCTGCGTCTGCCCCTTTCTTCATGTGCCTGCTGGTGTCCTCCATCCCTCTCTAGATTCCCTTTTGTGTCTCTTAGCGCCCTCATGTGTCCTTTGTCTGCGTTTCAGTTAGGTGTCACCTGCCTTCCCTCCAGTCCTCACTCCACACACCTGTTTCCTGTTTCCTGAATTGTTCTCCTGTGTATTTAAGCCCTGTCTTGTCTCTGTTTGGTGTCGGTCCATTGTTGTTTGTTTGTCAGCGTTGTTTTGGTGCTCTGTGTGAGCTTTGGTGTCTCGTTCTCGAGTTCTTGTGCTCTGGGTGAGCTTTTCTTCTAGTCACCAGGTTTTTGGGTTTTTGGATTTTTGGGTTTTTGGATTTTTGGGTTTTTGGATTTTTGGGTTCGCTGCCTTTTGGATTTATTTTTGTTCATCCTGCAAATAAAAGATTATTTACTTTACTTCATCTCCTGCCTCGTGTCATCCTGGGTACTGCATTTTGGGTCCAAACATCCCCAAATCGTGACACTGAGCTTATAAACTGCAGCTGTCTGTTTCAGGTGTCACATTTCCAGCACCTACAATGCAGCTTTATACCTAATTTATTTTTTCTCCCGTGTCCTGTCCAGCTGTGAAGCAAACAGAATTAATGTCTGAATGCTGGTGACATGCCTCACTCTCAGGTGGAGCATCAAAGCTTCTGCTTTAATGTCACACCTGATACTTAAAACTTTATTGTTATTGTTTTTTGAATGCTTTATAAGTCCGACCAGACACGGAGACCGAGGTGAAAGAGACAGGAAAAGACAATCGATGATGAGCAAGAGTCTGCTTCTAGACCTGCAGAAAGAAAACGAAAGAAGGGGACACACAACAATTCGACAAGAGCAAGCTATCACTGCGTCAACCTGCGTTTATACCTAATTCCTACACTTTCAGTCTAGCCACACCTTCCTGCATCTAAATAAAACAACCATCCTAAAGCTGGGCGGACACTGTGCGACTTTTTCACTCGTAGCACTCAGCTTCAGCTCACACTGTACGTCCCAGTTCTCGGATGCGATCTGACTGCTCACACTGTACGTCTGGTAGCAACACGTCGGCCCTAAAAATATGCTAAAAATAGCAGTTTTTACTCAACACGTCAGACTTTTTTGTCTTGTTTTACCTGTTGTCCTTCGGGAGAGCTGCAGGAGGACACACAGGGATTTATGGGGGTTGGATGAGGAAAACGAAATAAAGAAAGTAAATCTGTGTTTTGTGATCAGTTTAATTTGACATGAACACGACAAACACGCTTTCTTGACAATCTTTGTGAGTAAAAAAACGTGTAGAAATTAAAACAAACAACGTGTGTTATTAGGGAAATAACGGGGAGCGGCGTTGATGCAGGATTGCGCATGCGCCGTGAGCGGTTCTGATACATTTTGGGTCGCAGCTGCTCGCAGTGCCGCTTCAACAGTGCGATACCCTCACGAGGGACGAGCAAAATATTAAACACGCCAGAAGTCCGTGGGAGCTCACGATTGCTGATCGGTAGCTGGTCACGTGGTGTTAATCGCCTCTCGTAACCCCCTGTACACTACACAACGCTCGGCGCAAAACTCGCCCCGATCTCGTGGATTCTCGCACGAGTGGAAAATCGGCTCAAAAAAGTGAAAAAGTCGCACAGTGTACGCCCGGCTTAACACAATAAGACTTAACGACATCAACAATCCATCGGGGGTAGGGAGGAGGGGTATTCATAGGTAGTTGCTGCTCATTAAGCAACAATAGGCTGCTTCAATTCATAAGCTTGACCCTCCCATATTCCAGTCAGAATTGACAAAGCTCGTTGGATGAGAAGCAAAATGTCTTCAAGAAAACAAAGAAGTCAAGTTGTCTTCATTTGAACCCCTTTGGGTCGAACATCTTGAACATTTCTGACATTTGAAGACCTTTGTTCATAATAACTGATCTTTGTGAAATGAAATAATAATCAAAATAACTATTTCTGTTTCTTAGGTTGAATCTTTCTCTCTTTACCTACCGTGAGACACTGATTTAATCTCTACGGTTTTGGGAATCTTCTCATCACGAGCCCATCCTGCGCTCTTCCTGCTCACCTGGGATTTAAATAAAGTGTTCACCAGAGTTGACTTTCCAAGTCCGCTCGGACCTGAGAGGAGGGTGAAGAGGAGGACAAGAGAGGGACTCGGGTCAGAGAAATAAACCACGTGTTCGGACGAAGAGGAGATCTGTGACTCACCAACCACCATGATGTTGAAGTCAAAGCCAGTCTTCATGGTCTTCTTCCTCATCTGTTCAATGATGGTGTCGATACCGATGTACCCCAGCAGGGTGGACCCGCCGCTAGAGCTGTGGGAGCCTCCGTGGCCATGACCTGCGCTGTGTGCTGGAGGGTGGGCCCCTACATGTCCTCCACTGTGGACCACAGTGTGACTGCCAACATGGCTTGGACCGTGACTCCCGATGGGAACAGGAATTCCACTTGGAGGGGCAGCAGAAATGCCACCGCCTCCAATACCCGGTCCCTGGGGTGGAAACGGGCTTGAAGGAGAGGGAGCCCCCACGTTTGGGGGCTTGGCGGGAACGACTGGTTTGGGTCTAACCTCTGGTGGAACTACGTCTGACATGTCTGCAGATAGAGAGAGAGAGAGAGAGAGAGAGAGGAGAATTAAGACGACTGATAAAAAGGGTCTGAGAAGTAGGTCAGTAGAGCAAAGAAGGCTTCTTGTCACTTCACTTGTCCTAATGAGGGCTTCAGGAAGCGGCGTACAACAAAACACAGAAACACTTTCATAATGGACTCCTGGCCTGAAAACCCCCCGAGTACTGAGGAAAATCACAAAAAACATGAAATGGTCTCAAAATAAATGACAAGGCAGTTATTCCTGCCTGAGTCAAAGTGCTTGTTTAACTGAGAAAGCTGTTTTTGCTAAATTGAGACGGAAAACCTGGAGAACATAAAACCAGCAGATGGAAACACTATCAGTAAGGGATGCTTACCAGTGGCTGTCTGGCACATCCTGACTGTAGAGTTCTCACTCAGAAGTGGACTGAATCCAAACATGTTGTACCTATGAATGATTCATCCTCTAGAATTAGGGAAAAAGCTCCAGCGAGCCAGAATTTGCTTTTAAGACCTGCAAACCCTTATTTTTCAGTTCAGCGCTGCTACTAAAGTTCCCCTCAGAACGATTTTTAATACTTTGCTGACATAATTTCCATGAGCATCTATTGACACAGACGTCTTGGATTTAGTTGTAGAGCCAAACATTGCAGCATCCTTGGTTCTGAGCCAAATGAACATGTAGCTCAGTAAGTTGGAGGAGTGGATTTGTCAGATTTTCTGCAGAATATGAAAGTCAAAGAGACATCTGTCAGTATTCTGGAAGCCTGGAGAAATCTGTAAAAGCAACAAATAAGCTAATATTTACCATCATTCCCTCGTGCAAGCTTTCACGATTTATCCAAAGAGCATTTTAAATGTGATATTTAGAAGATTGAAAGACTTTTTTCAATTGTTTATGACAACTTGTGATAGATCATCTTAGGGCAAATAAAGAATTACAACTTGTAACCTTAACCCTTACAGCTTTATAACTAATGTTTATCAACAGCGGCTTCTGAATGTTTTCTCAGACCTTAGTACCGTGCCCCTGAGTGTTTTTATTTGACCACTAGCAGATGTTTAATGGAATGAGCTTCTAAGTGCAGATGGTTCCAGTGAGAGGCTGAGCCAGAGATGATGATAGCATCAGCCTCCGGAGTGTGTGCACGTGGAGCCTTTCAGTCAGACATGGATCCAGGCCACAGGTCAGGGGGCGGTGGCTGTCACTGTGAGTTGGTGCTCTCAGGACGCGGCTCTGCTCCCCCTCTCTGCCTGCTGCAGTCTTGCTTCTTATTGCTGCCATGAAACTACATTTAAGCCCCAACCCCGAGCTGAAAACAACACACACTAGCATGTCGGCTATTATTCCAGCCTGCAGCCAGAACGGGAAGGTTGTTTTCATTGGTTATGATGCAGAAGCACGAGGTTACCTCCACCCCCGCCCCAACGACCCCATTGTCTCTGCCTGCACACCTGCCGGCGATCACGGCTCTAAGCTAGCCGCTAACGCAGCTAGCTGTGGGCTCGGGGGTGTCGCGCGCACTTACCGATCCCCGGTCAGTCCGTCAGGTTCTTCTACTTTCCGAAAACCTTTAGCAAATCCTCAACGCGGAGACAACGAGAAGAGGAACAGTCATGTGATGAGCCGATGGGTACCTCTGCTCTCCTTTCTCCGGGCCGAGAACACCCTTTTTGTCTGTTTCCAAGGCGACGGGAGGAGAGGGAGTGGGGAGATGCAGCGCGCATGTGCAGTGAAGCTTCTGCGTCGAGGGACATTTTTTTTAGTTTTCTATTGTCAGAGAGGCGTATTATTTATAGGCTTAGACCGTGTCATAATTAGATGAGAGGTCCAATAAAATCTGAAGTTAATGGCCGTCAAGCAGCAGGAGAGCTGAAACAAAAAGAGGGTCTTTAACTTAAAGTGACAATGTGTAGTTTTTACCCTTAATCTCTGGAAATATCCATCAAAATGTTGTTGTAAATGAATTAAAAGATGCCCAGTTGATGAAAAATACTGGCATTTTCATGACATATAACCAAAAAAATCTGTTCTAAAATGCATGGGAGCAGGTCTAGCTCTAAGTCATATTGGATGCCATGTTTCCTTTTACGGTAACCCGTGAGGACAAAATGCATTCACTGATTTGTAACAAGTGGTTACAAAAGTTTTACCATTACGTAATAAACATTGTTTTACACATTCACCACTTCACTCGTTGCTTGAGATGAAAGGGAATCTGATGTTCATGTTATTTCGCTGGAGGTTGTGCTCCCAGGGAGTTTTGACCCATAATGGCCCTCTATTGGTAAGATCTTACTTGAACCGAAAAGTAATGCTTGCAACCATTTAGGTAAGTACTGTCCCCTATTGCCAGGGAAAATACACACTGTCACTTTAAGACACATAATGGAGATTTGATGGGAAAATAATTTAAAATTCTAAAATAAAGAAAACTTTGTTTGCGGAGAGCAGACATAGCAGATATAAAGAGTAAGTTTTCTTGTTATTTATTAAAGGTGCATCATGTAGAAATGAAGTAAAAATGACATCCTGTGGTAAAATTTGGTTACTGCAAACACTTAAAACATTTCTAGAGCTTTTTGCCACCTGTCGTCAAATTACAGTTGTCGGCTCTGCAGTATTAGCTCGCAGGAGACACAGTGACCCTACCCTCGCTGATGGAAAACAGTAGTTACATCCCTACTTCCTTTGTTTTGAAATAAGAACTGACAATCCCTGCAGCCAGCTGGATATGAAATATGTTTCAGTATAACTTTCCTTCCAAAGTGACTGAAACATTAGACTCTTTTGGGATTTTATCATTGTAAAATTCTCACTATATTCTTACATTCTGCACCTTTAATAATCATTCTTAAAAATGTTGTTGTTTTTTTTTCTTTGTTTGTATTTTCCAGCCATTTAAATCTGAGCAACCTAAGCAGTAATAATTACTGACGATCATTCTATTTGCTGGATAAAAGGAGTGAAACCTAAATGGAAAAACTAAAGTGTAAAATGTATGTAAATAAATAATAAATATAGTAAATAAGTAAATCAATAAATAATGAAAATCCATGAAAAGTTTTAAATTCTATTTTTAATTATTTCTTCATGAACATTTTTGAAAGGAAATGTCTTGTAAATACACATTTAAACACCCCCCCCCCCCACCCTCGTTTTAAATTATGACTTTAAAATTGATGATTTATTTACAGAAAAATATATAAATTCAACACTTTTGCTTTTGTTCCCAGTTTTTAGCAGCTCAACTCAATGACCTGAACCATTTTATACACAAAAGACCCATTACTCTCAACTATCATTCACAAATCTGTCTGAATCTGGGTTTGTGATTGCTGAGATAATCCATTCCACCTCACAGGTGTGGCAGATCAAGCTGCTGATGAGACAGCATGGACATTACTCGGGTGTGTCTTAGGCCCTGTCCACACGTAGCCGGGGATCTGCCAAAACGTAGATATGTTTCTACGTTTTGGCCTGTCATCCACATGAAAACGGAGTTTTTTCACACGAAAACGGATCTTTTTAAAAACTCCGGCCAAAGTGAAGATCTGCGTTTTCTCCGTTTTGGGTGTCTGCGTGTGGACAGACAAAACCGGAGTTTTAAGGTCCACAACGTCACTTTCCGCGACAAAAAAATGCTGACATCACGTGTGCGACCTGTGTTTACACTAGCCGACAGCATGGATGCCCTCAGAGCTGCGCTCGCTTTATCAATTGTCCAAGCGCTTTTTGCTTGTTTGTTTTTGCAAGCGGAATTACTGCTCCTTGCGGAAGACCACAGACGAAGGATGAGGTTAAGAACGGGGGAAGTACTGCCGCCTACAGGTCTGGCATGTCCTTAACAACGTATTTATCCAGGTACGTGTGGACAGAGTTTTGTTTTAAAACGTGGTGGTGTGGATGCAAGTTTTTGGAGGGGCGGATATTCGTTTTTAAAAAACCCCGACTACGCGTGGACTAGGCCTTAGACTGGCCACGGTAAAAGGCCACATGATAACATTTAAAAGAAACCATCATAAAAAGCTTAAACTGATAATTTTAACAAGGCTTTGAGGGATCCTGTTTTTCTCCTTCAGTTTTTTCTTCATTTATGATCTCTATTTATTATGTATTTTCTATGTGTTAACGATTTATGATCTATGTATTCGTTCACCTGCATCTCAACACATTCTTACTCCCTTCTCCTCATACTGACACTTGAGCCCCATTCCCACCTGTACCGGGTCGGCCCGGGCCGGGTAGCCCCAGTTGGCCCCATCCTGGCCCGGTTGATTCCACACATCCTTGCCTTAAGCCCATGTGGGCTGATTCTACCCACCAATCAGAGGCTTGCTCTAATGGAAGGTGTGAATTTGCTGTCAGCAGTGGGTGTGTTGGCCCTGGTCGGCCTGAAGCAGTACCCCTCGGGAAGAGGGCTGAGAATGAGCCTTGGTTGGCCCGGGAAAATTCCAGGCCACCCAGATATGTAAACAACCTACGCTACCCGGCCCGGGCCGACCCGGTACAGATGGGAATGGGGCTTTAGTCAGGCTCTCTCCGCGGCACGTCTGAGCCCCATTCTCATCAGTTTTTGATGCACAAGAATCTTTCATTCAATATGCTTCTATGAATTAATGTAGCTTGTGGTATGAGTTGTGACTCTATTTAAAGATTTTTTTTAATTAAGTCAAGCAGCAGACATAAAAACCAACAGATTCACGTGACAAGTGAAAAAACGAATTCTCACATTTGAACTCTCTGAAAACATCGAATTAGGGAACAGATTTGTGTTTGTTTTGGGAAACAGGCGCTCTTTTTTTTTGGCTTTTTAAAAACAGTTTAAAGCTTTTATTGAGGGTCTTGAGTTCTTAAGTGAGATCCAGACCCTGGAGCAGCCACATTTCTGCTCTGCTCCGTGATAAACAAACTAAATGCAGCTTACTTATTTCTGAGGCTTGTTACTCACACCTTATCTGAGAGTGGCTCTGGTTTTGTTCCTCCGCCGCTCGTCTCTCTGCATGTTTCTGCTGTTTGAGTGGAAACCTGCTTCGGCCCGTTTGAGTTAGACTCTGCAAACCAACTCTCACGTCTTCAGTGCGTCTGTGACAGTGCTGATAAAGAGTGGTGTCTTCTATCTGTCTGCCGTCCTCTTTGACCCCTCCCCCGTCTGAGCCCCCACCCCCACTGACAGAGTAATATTAAACTATACTGTTGGGATGTGTGTACTCACCCACATACACTGAGTCTGGGATGTGCATGGTGACGTAGCAGGGGTCTTCCAGATCCTCTCTGTTGATTGGTCTGTTTGAGCAGTAACGCTCTGGTGTTGTCCCCTCTGATGTCTGGTGGGCGGGTTGCTGCGGCAGGCCGACGTCTCCTTTTAGGCTGATGCCAGATCTGTTTGTGTTGAAGGAGCAATCGGCCTCAGCTGGGGCCCGGGGACACTCTGGTAGTTTTGTTGGCAGCTTTATGTAATCAGGTGTGTCTATAAAGCCTTTTTGATCCAGGAATGGGTCACTGAAATTCACCAGTTTGCTGCTTTCTTGTTGCAAAACAGACTTCTCCTGATTCAAGCCTTTGTCGGGTCCCATTAGTAAAAAATGTCTCTCAGCAGTCTGGCGTGTGTGAGGTGTCTTAACCCGGTTTAACCCTACATACTCTAGAGCTCCTGCTGGCTGGTGGAAGGGAGCTGACTGGCAGCGGTGATCCTCGGATACACGGTTGGATCGACTTGCTTCAATCTCTGCACCGATCCAGGCAGCCTGACTCTGGGTCTTTGATGGGAATCTGCGTCTCTCAGGGGGTGTGATGTTCTGAGATGAACCGGCTTGGTGAAGGAATTTGCACGAGCTTCCCAGGAACACTTCTTCTTGTGGTCTTGTGTAAAAAGAGCCAGATGGAAGAGTTTTATCCTCACTTACTTCTTTGTGCGAGTCAAATCGTCTTCCCCTTGCTTCACTTCTGACTGAAAGAGGCTCAGTGGAGCAGGATGCATTAGACACCACTGGTACAGTGGATATTTTCCCAGAATGCATTTGCTCTAACGATCCGTGAATGGACGAAAGATCTGAGGACTGAGAGTCTGCAGATTTACGCTGAAGGTTTGGTGAAGCGATGAGGATAGCAACACTCTCTTTTCTCTGCTGACGCTGGACGCCTGGCTCTGGGTTACTCGTGAGATTTAAGTTTCCGTGTGGACTTCTTGGCTTATTTTCTGGAGTATTTTCATTTGTATTAGGTTTGATTTTCTTTTGCTGTGAGCAGGAAATCGGCGGCACCACCGGGAGCCTGAAGGACTCAGTCTGATGTTTAAACTCTCTCGTTTGACTGACTCTTCTCAGCCCAGGATGAGTGAAGTCCATTAAAGCTCTTTGGTCAAGAACTTCATGCTTCTCCTGATCTGAAGTCGTCATTTTAGTGTTTGAAATCGAAATTGACCTTGCACGTCTTTCTTCAGCAAAGGGGGAAGGCTGCCTCTCATTTTGTTGGCTTGTGCTATAGTTTTGGCTGTGGGGTGATGGAGATGGGCTCCGCCTGGGGACTGGGACAGTTAGAGCTGGAGACATGCTTGGCTTTGGATCAGGCTGGAGCTGTATTGGGTAGAAATCACTCAGCTGCGAGGCGTGAAGAGGAAGTGAGTCGCTTGGCTTTGATTTGAGAGTGAGGATTGCAGGAGGAGGATTTGGCTCAGGGGCAGGAGAAATGCAGATGTCGGGCTTCGCTGAGAAAGTCTGAGAGCGGAGTGCTTTTGAGTTTGTCCTTGGAGGAGATGAAACTCCTTCTCTGTGCTTTCTCTGACATGCTTTGCTCCACCAGAGCCGTCCAGACGTCTTGGAGGAAACTAAATCTAAAGATCTGAAAGAAAACAATTTAGAGCTCCAGGATGAATTCAGTTTATTACATTAATGTGTAAAAAAAAATTAAAAAAAGCCCCTCGTCAGCTTACTTGTCAACTGCTGATGGTTTAGAGCTGTGTTTTTCAGGGATGAGCCCCTTCTCATCAAACGAGGAGATCTGAATGGCTTTTTTTCTGATCAGAGGAGAGGACAGAGACCGAGGAGGTTCGCTTGTTTGTCTGCAGGACGGAGATACACCTGTCATCAAAGGTGTCGGGCGATGAAAAGCGCTCATTTTGGTCTATGCAAGCAGGGTGGAAGAACATGAAAAGGAAGAAAGGAACAAGAATCCGGCTGTTTATGCAAATCTCACATTTCCACAAACCTCGACAACAGCTGTGCCACCCTGCAGCCCAACCTAACCACCGGTGTGATTATGAATCAAACCGCTGCAAAAATATGTTGCAGATCAGAAAGAAAAAGTTGCAAAAAATGGAAACGTATGCAGCAATACTTCTGGTAAAAGAAGAACCACAATAATAATGCAAAGATTTATTTTTAGAATAGGAGAGAACGTCAAACCTGCTGGCCGAGGCTCTGCTTCTGTTGTTGTCACACTGAGAGCTCAAACCAGACGGGTTCGGGCTGAGGAGTGGGCACACAGATGCCATTCTCTCCATTCCTTCACTCCCACTCTGGTGTCCCGTCCGATCTGGCTCACTGGATCCTGGGAAGTGTGAGTGTGGTCTGTCTGGTCACAGGCTGGCGTTCACAGTCCTGCTCCAGCTGAAGCATTACCGAGAAGAGGCCACAAGGCTTTGGTCAACGATGCCTTTCACTGCGACTCACAGTTGCAGCTGTTTCACGTTCCTCTGATTTCATCTCTTTGCATTTTTGTGCGTAATTAAATATAAAATAGCTTTCATGATTGTTTCATTTGACACCAACATCATTCTGTGACCCAAAAATGTAAAAAATGGTTTTAACACTCTTGAAGGTAACAACCGTGACATCTGGTGATGAGTCGCTCACATCGCTCTGCATGAATTTTCTTCCACATTTCTTTACAGAAGTGTTTTAATTCCACCATATTTTTGTACTCACATATCTAATTCTACTATTTGACCCCTTTTATTGATGTTGTGTTAGTGCTTGTGTCTTCAGTCCTGTGCAGCACTCCGGAGCAGCTAGAGCTGCTGGAAATGTGCCATAGAAAAAATTTGACCTTGATTTTGACTTTTGAGGGTTTTTCAGTATGAATGAACTGTTTAAGGTCAAAGGTCAGTCATTCTCCTTCAGGGCTTTCTGCTAGAGCGGGGGTCAGCAACCCCCGCATGCGGCTCTTCCATCCATCTGATGCGGCTCTCTGTGCTTGTAAAATAATGAATGGATATTTAAATAAAATGCTTTATATTTTACTGCATTAATTTTACATCTGTATGCCAATTCTAAATGTAAAGATTGTCTGCGTAAACCTGAACAGGTCCAACCCGGTCTTACTGTGAGACCGGGTTGACGCGTCACGCTTGTGCGTAATCATATCAGCGCATTCTGAGCTGACGAGGATGTGAGATTCTGGGATTCTCCTCAGACGGTTCCTGGATGTGTCACCACATTGGAGACAGGAACAAGCGCTATTCAGCCAAAGTTTCATAATCAGGGAACATTTTCTAAGTGACAAGTCTCGCTTCAGTCGGAGGAATCTTCCCGCATGCGCTCTGGTTCTGCGATGCGCTCCAAGCCAATCTCCACAACTTCAGCTCGCTGTGGACCTTATGTAGTACACGCTGACAGTGAGCTGCGCTGAGCAGTGTCCAGCTCAGATGTTCAGAAGGAAATCTTTTCTTGAGTGATTTAGCTACATCTGCGATGTGCGAAACAAATAAAGTGTCAGTTCGTCTGCATGTGTCGGGGTAATTCTTTCTATTCTTTCTCCGTAAAAAATAAATAGTCAAATACGGGAACTGTCCGGTCAACACAAGCCCTGCTTTTAACTGTTCTGTTTTCTTGTGAAAATTGTTGCAAAGAGATATAATTAAACTTGATTAACACCAGAGCCAGGCGCACTGCACCGGTATCTCCGTCACTGTAAATGAGGGAAAAACAAATTGATCGGATCCTTTTCTGACCTTCCCCACCTACAAAGTTTAATCACAACAATCAAACGTGACAGAGCCTGGATTTGTATTCTGAACAGTCCAAACATGTTTTAAAAAGAAACGTATGTCAAAAATGGCACCTGCTCAGTAAAACCACCAACAGGGTGAAAAATATCAAAATATTGTAGGCAGAGACGGGCTACAACTTCTGGATCCACTTTATATAAATCGTTTTATTGATTATCGTCTTATGAAAGAAAACTTTGACGTACACGAGCGACCGGTACTGGCTGCTGTCACCTGTTGTGAGCATCGCTCTGCTGTCTGAGGGTAGGCCCCGCCCACAACGCCGCGGCTGCTGTGGCTCCCAGTGTTTTCTTTACTGTGGGAAACGGGTAATAATGGCTCTTTGATGGGAACAGGTTGCCGACCCCTGTGCTAGAGAGTAGATTTCATGGTTCCATCACTTACAGCAAATGGTTCTGAAGCAGCAGAGCTGCCCCAGACCATTACACTTCCACCACCATGTCTGACTGTTTTACTTTACTCCACATAAAACAGGGAGAACACCTTCCACAACGCTCCACGTTTCCCCCATCTGGCAATATTTTCCCAAAGGTTTTGGGATTCATACCGATATTTCTAGGGGAAAATGTGAGACGGGCATTTGTGTTGTTGTTTTTGTCTTAGCTTTTCTTATGCTTCAGTCATGACCTTAACCCCATTCTTGAGATCTTTTTGCGAAGGTCATAAAGTCAGACAGGCTCTACTGAAGCGTTTTCTTTATTCTACAGCCCTGGAGGCCATCAAACCTGGGTGTGACTGGTGGACCTGAACTTAGCATAAATAATAATTTGATTACAGTTAATTTACAATTTGACAAAGAGGGAAATTGCGTTTTCTGTTTGAAGATAGCTAAATGATTACATTTCATTTGAAAACTGTGCTTTTTATTTACTCGATCGTCTAAATAATGACTACTCTGTAACAATTACAGCATGACAGACACAACGGTCTTGCGGGAAAGAAGGGTAAATGTAGCTTTTCAGTAATGGAACACGTGTGCTGTGAAAAAATGCATAAATCCTAAAAAAAAACGTCATCCATTATGTGTGAACAAACCCCACACGAAGAACGTTTAAATGACTGAACGGTTTTATTTCTGTATGAACAAAGAAGGCGCATGATCAGCAAGGATCGTTACAGAGTTTCCTCGTGATTCTGTTGAGTAAAAACAACAAACGCTGCTTTTATTCTGCTGTCTTGATCCTTCCTGACACGTTCTTGGCTCCTTGAATTGATCCTTTGGGTATTTTCAGAGCAAGTTACTTTATTAAAAGTTGCACCGATTTGGCACAAAAAAAATCTGCATGCACCTCAACAGCTGCCGAGCCGACAGCAGGGAGGGGATTAAAAACCCTCCCCAGTGACAGCAAAGTCATCCTCTACTCTAAATAAATGCACAAGAATGTAGAGTGATTGTCAGACACAAAACGTATGTAAAAGTTGGCACAAGTATAGGATGGAGGGAAATTTAATACGCTAAATAGCAACCTTCTCCCGAGTCACCGAATATTTCTGTCTGCATGTAGTCCTTCTACATGTGGGAACATGGACGTAATTTTCACTTTAGAAGTGGGGGGGCACGGGGGTTGGGTGGGTCAGGGGGGGGGGGGCGGGGGGATCTTTACAGTATGCTCTAATGGGAAACCGGCTTCAACACAAACGGTTGTTTTCCGCTTGGTCCAAGAGCTCAACCAGTGTCAATTTAATAAAGCGTAATATTGTTTTTGGATGGTAAAAAGTGCAGGGGTCAAAACTTGACTTTGGAAAAAGCGGGGGGGGGGGTGTCCCCCATGCCCCCCTCCCCCCCCCAAATTACGTCCATGTGTGGGAATATTTTAGGAATTTATTAATAAAAGATTCTTTTTACAGAGAAACTGGAATGATACAGAGCAGGGTATTTTTTACTTATCAGATGATTTCCTCCAGGAGCCGAGGTGTTGGCCCCCGTCTCACTGGTGTCGTGCCTGCGCCCCTGTCCGGCCGGTTTGCTGCCTACACCCGCCGTTCTGCTCCTCATCAAATCAGGACGTTGCTATCGTCATCTCTGCAGTTCACGCTGGCCACCAGCGGGTGATGCCGGATTGTTTTGTTACTCCATTTGTGGGCGTCCTGCAAACCGGGCTCGAGGAAGTACAGACACGCTCCGAAACCTGCCAGCACCAGCACCGACACCAGCAGGTAGAGGGGCACGAACCAGTCCAGGAACAACCACGACATGACTGATGCCAACAAAGGATGGACATGCCGGGGGAGGAATGATGGAGAGGGCAAGGAGAAGGTGAAAGGATGAGGGGATTTGGAAAAGGGTGGAGAAGCAGTTACTTTACTTCAGCCAAGGCTGCGATCTTTTGTTGTTTCCCGACACATGGGTCCTTCTAAAAATAGCACAAATGAATGAATTCCATCTTATTTACCTGCTGATGGGCTTGATGAGTCACACCTTTGGTGTGTGATAAAGATCAGCTGGCTCCAGTCACAACAGTCATGAGACGAATCCCGGCGCTGCAGCTCTCACAGTTTCATGTGAGACGGCAGAAGTCACGGCGGATCTCTGAGAGGAGCGGGAGCTGCATGCAGCTTCGTCCTCCAGCTCCCTGATGCTGACGTTTCAGAGGAGGGGTGGGTGTCGCCATGACAACACCTCTGCTGACGGATGAGGGATGGAGAAAGTGGGAGGAAAACTTATATAACAATAATCTCTTTTTTATTATTGTGGGGAGTTTTTAGGGGAGTGGGCTGGAGCAGGAGAGGGTGAAGCCTTTCCGATGATGCCTTGCTGCTTGCTGCATTAAGCCAGCTCTAATCCACTTAACACCAGAGCAAGCATGCTGTTTCTATGACTGAGTTGGAGACCAGAGCGTTTTTGTGGCTTTAGACTCCTCGCTCCTTGACAGCAGCTGCAGTGTTATCTCACTCACCTCATCATTTCTTCCCTCATCCTGTTTTTTGTATATTTAGGACAAACGCTGAGAGGATGGCTCGCATAATGAGAAGTTTTCAGAGGATGTTGAGTTTTTTTTTCAGACAGCTAATTTTAGCTCATTCTCCGCAAGCGCCACTAAATTCCTGAAAAGCAGCAGAGTTTAACGCTCTGGCTTGAAACGAAGACATCCGAGAGCAGGAACGACGAGCTGCAGCTTACTGAGTGCATAAATTACACCAGGATGTGTCACAGTTGTAACGTCCAGCAGTGGCCAGTTTTTAGGTACAGTTTGACCATTCAACATCTATTCAAAATCTGGTCAAAAAGGAGATGCAAGACTGCATGTGTTCCCTTTAAATTGGCCTGCCTCCATCCCACCAGCTGGAGCTCAGAGCCTGCAGCTCTGAAGAGATAACAAAATGTCAACAATAACATTTTCTCCTCGAGGTCCAATCTGTCAGGTCTTCATGCCTCCACATAAGGAACACTCCAGCTCGGATCAGTTGCCAAATCAAGAATGATTTCCTAAATCAATATGAACTTCTTCTCCAACTTACAAGCTAGATTATCGTCAAATAAACATTTGTTTATTGCTACTTATAATAACTATAATATAATGAAATGTTTCATTAATCTGTGCTCAATGATTGAAGTTTGAAATGAATGTTATGTTGTTTATATGGCAAGGTCATCACCATTTGCACTCACACAAGAACAAGTAAGGTTAAGTTGAACTCGTGACACATAAATAGTCTTTTATCCTAGTCAGAGCCTCCGTATCAAAGAAGGCGTGTTTCTGAGGTTGTCTTGGTAACCATTCCTCAACTTGTCAACCTTTGGTTGGCTACACGAATCATAACATGAGAACATCAAAACTGGATCACTCTCGGGTGATCTCTCAGGCCTAGTCCACACTTAGCCGGGTTTTTTTTAAACGAATATCCGCCCCTCCAAAAACTTGCATCCACACCACCGCGTTTTAAAACAAAACTCTGTCCACACGTACCCGGATAAATACGTTGTTAAGGACATGCCAGACCTGTAGGCAGCAGTACTTCCCCCGTTCTTAACCTCGTCCTTCGTCTGTGGTCTTCCGCAAGGAGCAGTAATTCCGCTTGCAAAAACAAACAAGCAAAAAGCGCTTGGACAATTGATAAAGCGAGCGCAGCTCTGAGGGCATCCATGCTGTCGGCTAGTGTAAACACAGGTCGCACACGTGATGTCAGCATTTTTTGTTGCGGAAAGTGACGTTGCGGACCTTAAAACTCCGGTTTTGTCCGTCCACACGCAGACACCCAAAACAGAGAAAACGCAGATCTTCACTTTGGCCGGAGTTTTTAAAAAGATCCGTTTTCGTGTGAAAAAACTCGGTTTTCGTGTGGATGACAGGCCAAAACGTAGACAAATATCTACGTTTTGGCAGATCCCCGGCTACGTGTGGACAGGGCCTCAGTTCTAAAGTTTCAGACCGGCCACCTGAAGCAACACCCTCTTTAACCCATCTAAGCTTCTGACACGTCGTCAAAACCTTTTTGCACCTGCGAAGCTGATAGAGCAAACAGTTCCTGCAGAACAAGCTGATGTTGTTTAGACTCCTTCAGAGTCCCAGACACGCGGTTCCATCCGCCTGTCGTGACCCGAGACATCTCTGGACTGAAGCGTCGGTGCCACGGTATTCTACAGCCCTTCTGTGCCAGAGGTCATCCGACCTCTCTGACCTTCGGATCCACTAAGAGGGTCTCCGAAAACGGGTGAAGCAGACACACAGATAACGTCTGATGTGCTTTTGATAATAATCAACTTCATAGCTTAACGCAACCCAAATTCTTTTACATCCAGAACTCAGCTCTGTCACGGGACGGTGTAGGAGGAAGTTTAGGACCCAAAATGCAGAGAACCAGATGAACCAGGCTGGAGGTAGATGATGAACATATAATCCTCTATTTTGGGAATAATCCAAAAGGCCAAAAACCAAAAATCCAAATGAAAACACTAGAGGCTAGAGACACTAGCAGCACTGGAAACACTGGAGAGCAAACGAGAACGAGTATGACAGAAACAATGGACTGACAAACGCACGGAGACACAGACAGGGTTATATACACTGGGGAGAATGAGAGGGAGATGAATTGCAGGTGTGTGGGGCAGGGGCGGATTAAGGACTGAAGAAGATCCGGGGCTTAACACACACACGCACGCGCGCGCAAATACACGCACGCGCGCACACACGTGACACGCACTAGTCAACATCATATATGTCTTGTACCACATAATTTTTAATCTGAAGCTACATATTAAGCATATTCAGGGCAGAATATTGTTCCTGCTACCCCCAAATTCCACTACCTCCGCTCCGGTCCGCCCCTGACTTCCGCAGCCGCTCGCTTCCGAACTCAATTTTTCTTGGTACCCGCTCTACAACGGCTCCGCTCCGGTGCGGAGACCTGAGGTGCGCAAACAGGCATGCGTGGGATTTTCGAGATCTTGCGATACAGTCCGAGCAATAAACGCGGAAGTTAGATCCAAACACCCCTTGTGTGGGAGAAGCGTCGGCATGAACTGTTTAATCTGCCCATCATTTGTGTTGAGAGATCAGCAGTGTTTGGATCAACAAAGGGTGACTACTTTGATAGTGGAAACTGTATTTATGGCTTACTTTTGTGCATTTAAACTTCAGCTGCCATTGATAGTTGTTAAAAGTTGTTAAACCTGTGCATATGAAACAAAAAACGCTTTTTGTTTATCAATTTATTGTGAAAAACGGAAGTTGTGCTTGCTCCTTTTCCTGTTGGGCGGTTGTGATTTCTGTCAATTTACTGCGGAGGTGCTCCGGCGTCCGGCGAAAATAGGATCGATTCTATTTTTGCCGGACGCCGGAACAGAGGGCGGCGCACGGCGCCGCACTGCCGGAGCACGACCGGAGCACGACCGCAGTAGTGGAATTGCTCTGATTGACTACAACGGGACCGATTTTGCTCCGGCGTTCGTGTCGGAGCAGAGCGGAGCGGAGGTAGTGGAATTTGGGGGTTATTGTTTAGTGTGAGATGATAGTAAATATTCCCTTTCTTTCTCCAACAACTTTACCTAATAAGATAACTAACCAGCAGCACAACAAATATTTTCAAATAAGACTCACAAACCTGAGTCAACACCAGTCTCATCAAAGCTGGGGTTCTGTCGCGGTACTTTTGGTCTAAAAAAACGTCCTTATGTCCATCTTCACTCATGCGTTTCAGGCAGAGTGTAGTAAAAGACAGGCACTGCAGAAGAAGCCGGCTGCTGAAGGGCTTCTTCAGTGGTGGAGGCTCAGGCAGGCTGTATACAAACTACTGCCAGCTGCTCCCTCTCTGTTGGACGTTGGTACTGCATGTTACTTCCACATTTGAGATCCGTGGCTTTTGATTAAAGATCTGGGGCTTCAGCCTAAGTATCCGGGCCTAACGCCGCCCCTGGTGTGGGGAGAGAGAGAGCAGGTGAACTCAATTACTAATCAGGGAGGAAACTAACATGACCTAAGAATAAAACCTAAAGACAAGAAGAGCAGGAAACATAATTAATAATCTAAGGGGGAGGGGGGGGGGGGAGAAAAACCACAAACACTGGTGGGAAAAACACACTAGAGGGACTAATAACATGAACAGCTGTAGCTAAAGGAAAATGACCTAAGAGAAAAACTTAAAAACCAGAAGGGCAGCAAACATAACTAATATTCTAAGGGGGGGAGCTGAAAATAAAGGAAAACACTACAGAAAGAAAAACTACAGGGGCGTGACTAAAAGGGGGCCAAGGGAGCACAGGACCTGGGAGGGGGATGCCTGAGGAGGGAAACCTAGAGGGCTGAAGATCTGGGGGCAAATAGGGAACACCAGGAGACACAAGAGGAAGACACAGACAAGGACACATGAGGGCGCTAGGAGACACAAAAGGAGAACATAGAGAGGGATGGAGAACACAAGGAGACACACGAGGGGAGACGCATACTCAGACTATGACAAGCTCTCCTAGATACGGAAGTTCTGATAACATCGCATTCACACCTAGTTCCATTCATCACAGTAAATGCATAGTTAACTTGTCATGTTTTAATTGTTTGTAAAAGTAAATTCTTACTTTTATAAACCTGACTCTTTTCTGAATTGAACTGTGTACAATTCCTTAATAAAGAAAGAATCCTAGATCTTCCGATTAAACACCGTTAAGACCAAGCAGGGTGACATTCTGTATTTAAATAGAGTATCACAGCTTATTGGTCATGAGTAGAGGTAATATATTTAGAGTAGAGGAAATATATTTATTGAGCTATTAAAGCACTCAATTTCCTAAACCCTAAACAGTTTTCATTTGAAGCTTCTCTGTGCATGCTTTATTCTCAAAGTTAAAGCAGGATGATAAAAAAGAAAGCGCCACACTGACAGAACAAAAGCAGGTATTCATTTAAACCTTTAGCGACAGAAGTCTGTGATGATGAGTTATAACTGGATTTATTTGCTATGAAATGAATTTAAAATCAGAAGAAGAATAAGAGGAGACATGGTGAAAACGTCAGGCTACTCTGAAGAAAACACATCCTAAATGATAAAAATTATGACTACAGACCAACTATCACCATAGCGACCACTGTGATCAAGCACCGGAGTGTGGCTTAAGCCCATCATAATTAGCTGGTGGTTATGGAAGGAGATGCAGGTGTGACCCAAAGCAGTAATGCACCGTCATCTTCATCAGACAGATCTCACGGCTCCTCCTGGGAACAAGGAGGGAGAGAGGAGGGGAGGAGAAGATAGAGGGAGAAAACCTGGGGGCTTCCTGGAACCCGAGTCAATGAGGCTATTCTACACCGCTATCATCGAGTCCATCCTCACCTCCTCCATCACCGTGTGGTACGCTGGAGCTACCACCAGGGACAAGAAGAGGCTGCAGCGTGTCGTGCGCTCTGCAGAGAAGGTCATTGGCTGCAAACTCCCCTCCATTCAAGATCTGTACACCTCTAGGACATTGAGGCGTGCAGGTCGGATAATAGCTGACTCGTGTCACCCTGGACACAGTCTCTTCGACTCGCTCCCATCTGGCAGAAGGCTCAGATCCATTCAGACCAGAACCTCTGGCCTCAAAAACAGTTTCTTCCCCTCTGCAGTTGGACTTTTGAACGAAAATCCTAGGGCAGCCCACTCAAGTTGATTGGTCCCAGTCACATGACCCGATGCTGTGCTTGAACCATTCAGCAAACACTCAGATTAGTACCTACATGGGGTAGATAGCTGCTTCTCTAAATTCCTGCCACTTTCTACATTAATAATTTTATCATGAGTGTTTTATTAGTTCTTATATTGCTTATCTCTTAATTAATTGTTTTTCTTTCTTACCTTCTGCACCAAAATACCGCAGCAATTTCCTAATGTTGTGACTTGGCACACATGTGGCAATAAAAACTTCTGATTCTGAATCCTGACAAAATGACAAATCCTCATCCTTCCTAATGAGATGAAACTTTGGCTCCATCACAATTCATTATTTGGACCAAGCTAAACACCAACAACTCAGCGCGACGCAGACACACAGAGGGCTGAACAGATGATTGCTAATAAAACAGGCTGGATGGGTGTTTCCCAGATTCAGAGTACAGTAAGGTCCTTCGAGTTGTTTGTTCGCATCCCTGCAGGTTGTAAACGGATAAACATGCATTGCTTCGTTTAATTTTTTTCTCAGGCACTGCAGTGATTATGGAAACGACCAGAGGAAAAGTAAAAATGAAAGTTCTGTGAAAAGAATTCCCCACTTAAGATGGAGCTGGAATGACCTCTGTTTGGAAAAAACTGAGATTAGTATCACATGGACAATGAAGCAAAATAAAATGTTAACTAGAATATTTCAGTTTAAATACATGTTTACATCTATTTAGTCTCAGCTGAGACAAAATGCCTGTAATTTTGTATACAAACTGAAGGGTGTGTTTAAAAGAACGATCATGTTGTAGTTGTTACTTGTTACTCATTAGGTCACCACGGCAACCACACACCTGTCATTTACCTCCTGACAGTAAACCTAATTGTCTCAACTCAAAGGTTCAGGGCCCTGTCCACACGTAGCCGGGGATCTGCCAAAACGTAGATATTTTTCTACGTTTTGGCCTGTCATCCACACGAAAACGGAGTTTTTTTCACACGAAAACGGATCTTTTTAAAAACTCCGGCCAAAGTGAAGATCTGCGTTTTCTCCGTTTTGGGTGTCTGCGTGTGGACAGACAAAACCGGAGTTTTAAGGTCCGCAACGTCACTTTCTGCGACAAAAAAATGCTGACATCACGTGTGTGACCTGTGTTTACACTAGCCGACAGCATGGATGCCCTCAGAGCTGCGCTCGCTTTATCAATCGTCCAAGCGCTTTTTGCTTGTTTGTTTTTGCAAGCGGAATTACTGCTCCTTGCGGAAGACCACAGACGAAGGACGAGGTTAAGAACGGGGGAAGTACTGCCGCCTACAGGTCTGGCATGTCCTTAACAACGTATTTATCCGGGTACGTGTGGACAGAGTTTCTTTTTAAAACGAGGTGGTGTGGATGCAAGTTTTTGGAGGGGCGGATATTTGTTTTTAAAAAACCCGGCTACGTGTGGACTAGGCCCTAATTTCAGTAGAGATGCTGCAGTCTCTAGCACGAATTACTGCATTGAAAGTTGTTTTCTGCGGGGATCTCTCGCTCCTGCTTCAGGTAACAGAAGTTTGTCAGAAGAGTGAAAGACAGAAAACAGGATTACCAGTCATGCTCATTAATATTCATGACATGCAGATGCTTTGCTGATTGGCTAACATCATAACTCTACTGGTGCCTTCGTTTGCTCTTCTTTCTAAGGTAAAAATCCATTTCAGACTTGGTATTAATGAGGCGGGACCTGTTACTTATACCAAGTCCAGGTTGGATGCGGTTTGGTTTTGAGACTCTGCGGATCTAATTACCAAAATAGGAACAAGTGAGCTGATGGGAACCAGGTGTGCATGACAATGACTGGGGAGCTGGGGGGAAACACCCAAAGTGAACCACAGACAGAAGCATGTGTTACTCTGGTAGAACTGTGAGCACACCAGATGAAACATTTTAGTCAAACCTCTGACGTCAAAATCCTGCATCCATTCTTCTGTAGCTCTGAGCTGACCATCAAAATAAAATATAGATCTTTAAACTAAACACCTGAAACCTTTATTTTACTCACTGACTGTCCGGAGGCACAAACCTTCAGTGGTGTTTGTCCAAATAGTTGGTCGGTGTTGAGGTTCACAGCTCTCCAACCTCCTGCTGCATCAGAAATATGGTGCTCATTTTTAACGCTGCTGAATATCTCTGTCAGACACACACACACACACACACACACACCTACAACATAAAAACCTAATGATGACAAAAAAACAAAATAGAAGGATGAGTTTGCACTTGACCTTGTTTCAGAAGGATTTCTGCAGATTATCCAGACAGACGGAGCACGGGTATCAGAGGCACGAGTGGGGCTGATAACGAAACGGTCCGCACACTCCGGCTCTGTCTGTACTATTATCAAGAGGAATGATGCAGTCACATAACGAGGGTGGTCTGAACAGGCCCTATGGCGAGGAACACACCAGACTCAATTTCATCGATGACTGAAAGCAATTTGAATGTGATGCCTTTCAAAATGTCAAATATATCCGTTCCATTTTCACACAAAACCAAAATCATCAGACTTTGTAATGAAATCATGAGGCTTTTTGGGATTATGACGCTAAAATAAAATGGAGGTTAATAGAGGGGCTCTTTGAGCTTGTCGCAGGAAGAATTGTAATGAACTCCAAGAGAGGACAGAAGACACTTTTTTTTTCTTCCTCCCGTGTCCTGTCTGGCTGTGAAGTAAAGTGAATTAATGTCTGCATGCTGGTGACAAGCCTTACAGATTTACTCTCAGGTGGAGCATCAAAGCTTCTGCTTTTAATGTCACGCCTGATACTTAAAACTTTATTGTTATTGTTTTTTGGATGCTTTATTAATTCTGACCAGAGGTTGGGGGGAGGGGGGTTCCACAAAAATAAACAATCAATGATGAACAAGAATCTACTTTTAGACCTGCAGAAAGAGGAAAATAAACCAAAAAAAAGGAAAAAGGGGACACTAAACAATACAACAAGAGCAAGCTATCACTGCATCAACCTGATGAGGAAATTTAAAATCGACATTGTTTTGCTAACAATCACACGATAATAA